GCGGAGGCGGAGGCGGAGGCGGAGGCGGAGGAGGAGGAGGAGGAAGAAGAAGACGAATAATAATAATACTAATAAGCATAAAGGGGCGACGAAGACGGGTAATACTAATACGAAGAATAAGACGAATCATACGAACACGACTAGCAATATTAATAAAACGAAGACGTAGACGAATACGAATACGGACACTGATAATAATAATAATAATAACAGTAATAATGATCATACTAATAATAATAATAAGACGAAGCAGACGCCGAAGAATACGACTACGAATAATGATACTACGACGCATAAGAAGAATATTACTACGGATATTAATACTAACAACAGGAATGTTAATAACACTAATAATACTACGAATAAGAAGCATACCACTAATACTAATACTAAGGCTAAAACTAATACGAATAATAAGACTAATGATAGTACAACTAATAAGAATAATACTAAGAATAAGAAGAATAATACTAATAATGATAATAATACGCATAATAATAAGGAATAATACTAATACAAATAATAATAAGGATGATGATGATGAGGAGGAGGATGAGGAGGAGAGGGAGACCATGCGGAGGATACGGACATGGATTCTCAGGGCCTTGCTGGGGTTTCCTTGGGGTTTCTGGGGAGATTTCGGAAAGGCCCTTTGGGGCCTCTTGGGCTTGGGGGCCTCTTTGGCCGTTTTGGCGAGCTCTTGGCCCGTCTGACGCCTATGGAGGCCGCCTTTGGGCCTTCCCTAGGCCGCATGGGTGCCCTCTTGGAGCAGTTCGTAGCAGTCTTGGCTCCCTCTTGGGAGCCTTTTGGGCGATCTTTGGGTCCTCTTTGGCCGACTTGGGGCCCTCTTGGGGGCCGCTTGGGCTGCCTTGGAGCTGTCTTGGGGGCCTCTTAGAGGCCTTTTGGAGGCTTATTGGGCCGCCTTGGGCGGTCGGAAACACGACCAGGTGAGAACTTCAACATCGTTCAACAACCAAAGGACAATCAATGGATTTGGCCGTCTCGGACTCTCCAGGAGGGCCTCTTGGAGACCTCCTGGGCCGTCGTGGGGGCTTCTTCATCTTTCTTGAGGCTGTCTTGGGAGCCTCTTGAGCCGTCTTGGGCTATCTTGGGCCATCTTGGCTGCCTTGAAAGCCGTTCTGGAGGCCATGAGGCTCCCAAGCTGGCCTCAAGGCAGATTAGGAGCCCCCCAAGACGGCCCAAGAAGAAGCCTCCAAGAGGGCCTCCAGGAGAGCCCGAGGAGGCCAATAACATGCTGTCCCTAAGACTTTTGAAGGATGTTGAGGTTCTGGCATGTTTGGGTTATCGTCGTCCGTCCAAGACAGCCCCAACGGCCTCTCTGGGCTGTCTGATTGCTCTCTTGGAGCGCTTCAAGACCGTCTTGGGGCCCTCTTTGGGGGCCCCTTGGGCGATCTTTGGGTCCTCTTGGGCCGACTTGGGGCCCTTTTGGGAGCCGCTGGGACTGTATTGGAGGCCTCTTGGAGGCCTTTTGGAGGTTTCTTGGGCCGTCTTGGGCGGTTGGAAACCCTAACAGGCGAGAACTTCAAACTTTTTCAAGCCTCTTTGAACTCTCTCGGGCCTTCTTGTGGCCTCTTGAGCTGTCTTGAGCCGTTTTGAGGCTCTTTCGAAGGGCTCTTGAGCTGTCTTGGGCCATCTTGAGCTGTTTTTTATTGTCGACTGTCTCGGAAGCCCTCTTGGAGGCCATCTTGGCCGTCTGGAGGCCGAACCGACCGCCAGAAAGCAGCTTCAGTGGGGGCGGTTTTCGAGGGGGGGCGCGGTGCCCGGGCGGGGCGGGCCCCTTCACACGCTACACGACATCCCACAAGACAACACAGCGAACTCTAAAACGCCCACCCCGTGCAGGCGTGGTGGCGATCCCAGGTCGACGACCCGCCCCCCCGGCCAGTCCACCCCCGTCGTTCTCCCTCCCCTCCGCCGGGTCACCCGAGGGTGTGCGAAGAGAATCGCGGCTCGCGCGGGCCAGAGCGGGCGCCCTCCTCCAGGGGGGCGGCGAGAGAGGGCGCAACCGCCGGAAGATCGCCGCACGTGGCGAGTCGCGGGGTGCTGTGCGCCAGGCTGGGTGGCCCAGATCCGAGGTGGTTCGATTCCCCGGCATCGGCCGGGGCGAAGGCGGAGCCGGGCGCGGCGATCCGACTTGGATTCGATGCCGGTCGGCTGGCGGGTGGTCCGAGCTGTCTCGGATCCGATGGTTTCTGTTGCGCCTCGGTTCGGTGCAGGCCTGCCGGGTCGCTGGCTCTTGCAGCCCTCCCCCCCCCCCTCCAGCTCCGCCGCGGGGGCCGACAGGCCAAGGAGAGCGCCGCCGCGGCCATCGCGAACAGGCGGGGGCCTCGGCGGCAGACGCCCGCCCTTCCAGCTCGTGGCTAGGGTGCGATATGTCATCTTTCGAAGAAAGAACACGCTAACATCGATGTTTGGCGCTCCGCGCGGATTTCTTAGATCCGCGCCTGGGCCACCTTGCGGCGCCTCCGGCGCCGCCCCTGGCGCGCTCCGCGCGCTAGGGAGGGGGGCCCAGATCCAAGAAATCCGCGCGGAGAGCCAAAAGTTTATATGTTCATACAGATCTCCTACCCTGACACGTCGGTTAAGGAATTGGCCGTTTTCGGTTCGCGAGAGGGCGTCGCGGCCGTTATCTTTGCGGGTCCAGGTCCGTCGGTTTCGGTCCCAGGCCGTTTTCACTAAGGGGAGGTCTACTAAAGGGAGGTTTGTCCACCGCCGATAATCTTGTTCGCCACCAAGGGAAACCAGGGGGAGCCAGGCCACCCCCAAGGGGGGGGCGAAGGTGACCGCCCAAAAAAATATGTTTATGCGAGCGCCAAAAACTTATGTTCATGTTTGTTCGCCACCAAGGGAAGCCAGCGGGAGCCAGGTCGCCCCCAAGGGGGGCGGAGGTGACCGCGCTCCGCGCGTCGCGGGCCTGGGCTGGAGAGCTGCCCCTCTCCAGTGTGGCCTCTCGAGGGCGCGCAGGCCCTTCGCGCAGCGCGGGGCGCGCAGCGCGGGGTGGGCTGACGTTGGGAAGGGAGTGGTAACAGACACAAGCGAGATGCAATGAGACAGAGAGAAGGAGAATGAGAGAGAGAGAGAGAAGGAGAAGGAGAGAAAGATCGAGAGAGAGAGAGAGAGCGAGGGAAGAAGAACACACGTCGGTGAGGAGCACGGGGCCTTCGGACAAAGAGGGAGCGGGTTTTGGAGGTTAATCGCCGCTCGCGTGCGTTCCGGCCTTTCTCTTGGCCCAGGGCCCTAGGACCGCCCAGGCACAGCTCAGGATGGAGCTCGGAGGCCCCCAAGACGGTGTGGTGACCTCACTGGGAGTCGGGGTCACCGCATGGTTACGGGACTTGGGTCATTCTCCGGACCCCGTCGTGAGAGGCAGAGGGGAGGAGGGGAGGGATGAGAAGGAGTTTCTTCACTGAGTTGCGCGCACGCTGGTGATGGCTGGCCTTGCCTTGAATTCATTGCTGCATCGAGAACTCTGGTCTGGGCTGAGTGTCCAGGCCACCTGCCTCTGTTGAGGAGGAAGGGGCCTCTTGGGTACCTCGTGGGGCTTCCTGGGGACCCCGGCCTCTTGGGGGCCTCTTGGGGACCTCTTGGGGACCTCTGAGTCTCTTGGGCTTCAGAGGCCACCTTGCGGACCTCACTGGGCCGTGTTGGGGCTCTCTTGGAGCGCTTTGGGGTTGTGTTAGAGGTCTCTTGGGCCGTCTTGAGGCCATCTTGAGGGTCTCTTGGGCCGTCTTTGGACCCTCTTGGCTCGTCTGGGGGTTTGTTTGGGCCTTCTTGGGTCGTCTTGGGGCTATCTTGAAGGCCTCTGGGGCTGTCCTGGGACGTCGGCAAGCCCGAGAAGGCGATCACGATCCTCAGGGAGAATCGCAAGTTTGTGCATTTCCGGGCTATCCTTGAGGGCCTCTTGGAGTCTCTTTGGGCCGCATCGTGGGCCTCACGGTCTTGAGGCCATCTCGGGCCGTCTTAAGACTGCCTTGGGCCATGTGGAGGGAGCCATCTTGGGCTCTCTTAGGGCCATCCTGGCAGCCTTGGGGGCCATCTCGGGCAATCCATACCGTCTTGGAGGCGGGTTGTCCTGACTTGGGGCTTTACCGGCGGTTTCTTGGTGGCCAAGGGTTGGGCCAGATGTTTTGAGAACCTCTTCGAAGGGCAGACAAGTATTCACATATTTGGAATGCCAAGAACCCCTGGGGCAAGTCAGAGGGTGTGGCGGATTCAGTGGCATTCGGCACGTGCCGCCACCGTGCCTGGATTCTGAACCCGAGGCCTCCTGGATGCCTCTCGGAGTGGTCTCTCCAAGGCCTCTCGAGGGGGCTCCTGTGGTCTCTCGGGGACCTCTCGGATGCACCGTTGGCGCCTCTTGGGGCCTCTCGCGCGCTTCTGGGGGGGGTCGGCGGCGAGCCTAAAGGGGGAGAGCCAGAGGGGGCAGGCCCTCCTGGACGGCTCGGAAGGCCGACGTCGCCGATGCATCGCCGACGTCGCCAACGCATCGGCGACGCTTCGGCGATGCCGCCTGCTCCTTCGGCCTCATCTGCTCGCCTCCACGTGTCAGGCGATGGCGAACACGGATTGAGGGGGCGTGGATCAGCGACGGGTCCCGCTTCCCCGGGAAGTCGCGGATTTCCGCCGCCGCACGAGGCGGCACCGGCCGCACTTTGGGGAGGGCACCTCCGACGATCCATGGATTTGTCGACCGCGCGCCAAATCCATGGATCGCTAATCCATGGCTGCACGCCCCCGAATGTGGCAGGCCTCCCAAATTCAGGAGGAAAAAAAGCACACAGACACAATTAATCGTCGATTTCCCAGAAAATATGCGAAAATATGGGAAGTGGTGGGGAAGACAAAAACCCAGAAAATATGGGACAATATGGCGAATCTTTTTATTTGTGTGTATTTATTTGTGTGTCCCAGTTTCCCTTCACAAATAGCCTCCCTGGACGCTCGCAGGCCCCTCCCAGAGGGCCCCTCTCTTGCGGGAAGCCCCCCCCCCCCCGCCTTCTCAGGAGGCCAGCCCTCGTCGCGCCGCCCCCGCGTGCGCGCCGCCAACTCTCCTCCTCCCCCCCTCCTCCCCCTCCTCCTCCTCTCCTCCTCCTCCTCCTCCTCCTCCTCCTCCTCCTCCCCTTCCTCCTCCTCCCTCCTCCTCCTCCTCCTCCTCCTCCTCCTCCTCCTCCTCCTCCTCCTCCTCCTCCTCCTCCTCCTCCTCCTCCCTCTTCCTCCTCCCCACCTCCTCCTCCTCCGACTCCTCCTCCTCCTCCTCCTCCTCCTCCTCCTCCTCCTCCTCCTCCTCCTCCTCCTCCAAGTCTCGAGTTCACTTCGATCCGGCCGACGACCATTCTGACATTGCGACGATTCGTTGCGTCCCGATACTCGCGTGGCGCTTTTTGGCATGCTGGTGCGGTCGATCCGATTATATTCCTGTTCCGGGCCGATGCGGCCCGTTCCCACGCGTGTTCAGATTCGATGTTGCAGTCAGGGCCCCGTTTGGGTCTTGACTCGATTTACAAATTTTGGCATGAGGTACACATTCCTGTCCGAAAGTTTATGCTCATGCAGCTGTTCTCCATTGTCATTGTTCTGTGTGCCTCGCAGACGTTCTGGCTCAGGCATTTTGGCCTGCGCTCGCAACAGCGTATCTTCAGAACGGCGCACTGCTGTTGCGGGCCTTTTTGGCTTCATCTTCTCAGTTTCAGTTTGAGGGACCTCAGCCTTCGTCCATTTGCTCCTTCGGAGCCCCAGACGCCACGTTCCTTTCGGTGGAGCCATGGCGGACAAGGGTTCGGGAGGCAAGGGGGCTGCTAGCCGCATTTCGTGGTGTCCGTGGCATGCGGGGTGGGCCAAGTCTCCAAATCAAGGCAAAGGTAAAGGAGCTGCTGGAGGTGCTCGTGGCAATCGTCTCCGCCACCATTGGCCTGTCCTCCAGCCTGGCCCTCAGCCTCGTTATCTTCGTGTGGACCTCCCCCAGCAGGACGACGGCAAGTGGGTCTGCAGCTCCTGCGGCTGCAAGAGGAACAAACCATCGTACGACTTCTGTAAGCACTGTGGCTCACTGCGGTACCAGACTTAAAACGACGCTTCGGGTTCGGCATGGACAGGGGCATCGGGGCATTCCTTGTTCAAGCCTGGCCCTCGTCTGCCTGGCCTTCAGGGAGCCAGTGGCGGGTCCCAGGCGCGGGCGGTGCCTCAGCTCCCCTCCCTCTCGATGCCGGAGCTGGAGTCCTTCATTGCTCTCTCCGAGAAGCTGGGCAAGGCAGAGGATGCTGGGTGTGCTCGTGCTCTCCTCGCATGTCGTCGCCCGCCTCAGGTGCCAAGGTTGGTCCCGAGGAGCAGTTGGCACGAGTGCAGCGTGATCGTGTCAAGCATGGCTCCCTCATGGAGAAGGAACTCAAGCGCATCAGCTCGTTGGAGGCACAGTTGGCCTTTCAGCGCAAACTCGTCAAGTCCATGGCGACTGAGCTTGACCAGCTGGACAAGAGCTACGAGGAGCTGGCGAAGAACGTATCCAGTGCCTAGGCTGGGGTCCCCTCCCAGACGGCTAAGCCCACCATCAGGCTTGAGGGCCTGCTGGATGGCAAGGTCGACGGCATCAACGACGACATCGGCTCGCTCTTCGCCACGGGTGACGAGGACGACGACATCGACGCTCAGGACCGAGAGGAGATCGACAAGAAGCGCGACACCATGGTTTCCTCTCTCGCCGAGATGGCCAAGGAGCTGTTGTCCAGAGCCGTCGCCAGTGCACGCGAGGCGAAGGAGGCTCATGCAAAAGCCACCGCTCGTTTTCAGGCAAAGCGCAGGAGGACTGAGGCTGGTGAAGCTGCTGGTGGTCCTCTCGTCTACGCTGCCCAGGGTCCTGCTGCCTCTGGATGGGGCCGCTCCAGCGGGTGCAGGATGAGTTCCAGCCCCGGCCGTTTCCGCTGAGCAGCCCGAGCCTGCCGCGACCCCAGGGCGTGACAGTGGCCCGGGCTCGGGCGTTATGCTCGCGCGAATGCGCTCGGAATCTGCAGAGCTCCCCGATCAATTTCCAGCCCCCCCTGCCGATGACGTCTGTTTGGTCGTCGCGGGGGGGTGCCGCGTGTGTCTTGGTCACTCGGCAGGGGGGGCTCTCTCGCATTTCAGTCTCAGAACCTTGCCAACACTTTCAGACCCCCCAGGCGGGCGGGGGGCGCTTGCGGCAGCGCTTCCCCCGCATCCACCAGTCAGAGCACCAGCGCTTTCTTCAGGCCTCCCACGGGGGGAGCGCTTCAGTCCAATCCAGCCAATTCCCTTTCGGTGCCACCTTGCCCTGCCTGCGAGTTTCTGTTTGCGGTTGAAGCGATCA